TAGTTTTTGTTTGTATATTTTTTCTTGTCGTGATTTACTTTATTTTCCGACACTTTGCACTCCCATCGCGTTCTTGTGTTGTTTGTTGTTGTAGCGTTCTGACCCGCCTCTACTGGCAATCTGTAGCTCATCGGATTCTTCCAGTATGAACAAATAGACTTTCCGATTCTGAATTGAAAGACAAAAAAAACCCGCGTCAGCCGCCACACCGCGTTTCACCATCGCTCTGGCCTGGCCCTCGCTGCTTTAAAACATACGCGCACTGCCACAAAAAAAACACGCGTTATCATCATCATCATCATGATAACAATCAATAGTTAACACATTCAACAATGGAAGCGGCAACAAGATGAAGAGAAACACTACTGGTACGTCGTGATAATTTTTTTATTGTTTTATATATATTTTATTATTTTATTGTTTCCCTTCAACGTGACTTTACCGAAAGAGCTAAGAATATGAATAGAAACACGACACTCTGTGTGTGTGTGTGTTTCCCCGCCAAAACTGCCACAAATGTCCGAGCTCAACGCGCCAAGCTCCGCACGACGTATTTTGAGCCGGATGTAAATTCCTACGGTGCACAGAAACTCTGAATTGTGTGTCCCTTCGTCACAGTGCTGGAGGCAAGCTGCACAAACTCTGCACAAAATTCACACTAAAATAACATTTAACTCTCGCCAAAAAAAACCCTCACTTTCCTAGGCCACAGCCTAACCCAGTGCATATTTTAAAAACGAATCGTAACCCTGCGTCAGCCACTCAAGAGTTAACCATGTCTGCAAAAGGTAATAAAAACATAGCCTTCATGGCTGCATTTCACCGCCTCACCTCGAGGAAGAGATTCACGTTTCTAACTAACTTTCCCTCCAAAAACACCACGGTAAAATCCCCCAAAAATCCGTAATCCATTAATCTGCAAATTCATCGCTGTACTCACGTGATTTGATCAGTCGAAAATATTTTGTTTGTTAGACTTGGAAATCAAGCCGATAGAAGAATGCTCAAAAATCCCCATAACACATTTTAGATTTAAAGCTTTCGTGACTGCAGGGATTCATATTCTTGGTTCTTTACCGAAAGAACCACGAATATGAACCCCATAACACATATTCTTGTTTCTTTCGGTAAAGTCACGTAGAAGGGAAACAATAAAATCATAAAAAATATAAAACAATAAAATTCTCACGACGTTGCGACTACAACACAAGCAATCATCATCAGGTGTGAAAACCACAGCAAGAAAAGTGTTTCCCTTCTATGTGACTTTACCGAAAGAACCAAGAATATGTGTTATGGGGTTCATATTTCTTGGTTATTTCGGTAAAGAACCAAGAATATGAATCCCTGCAGTCAAGAAAATTCTTGCTGTGGTTTTTCACACCTGACGATGATTGCTTGTGTTGCAGTCGAAACGTCGTGAGTATTGCACTGTCCCATGACACATGTTAGATTCGGGTCCGAGATCAAGTCTCGTCGTCTCATCAGTCGGCGAATTTTCTCCCGGATTTGTGAAACAGCACGGCGCTTTCCTTCCCCCGCAATCCGAGGCGAACACGCTCTCGGACTGCAGAACTCCCCTGCACGCCATGCGCTCTACAGACTGCACGATGTGGTCTCCCCCATATCGGCGCGGGTTATTGGGAGTTCTGCCCGTATTGTGCGTGTCTCAACAACCAAATTGTCAGTCTCCCCCCCCGCACCCACTACCCTGTCATCTTTAAACCTAAATAATAGATGTTTGGGTTAGGCCACGTGACCTCCTAAGCAAATAGTGTCAACTCTGAATTCGTCAATGAGTGTGCTATGCCTGGTGGTGCGACTACAATCTGAGTACCTGGAGAAACCGCCCCCCCCCCCAAAAAGACAAAGATCCCCCGTGTAGCCTTAAGAGACTGTAGGGGCAAGTTCTGTTAGCGAGCACTTATGAAGGCCGGCACGGTATACGAGGGGGTGGGTGGCCAGCACCACGCCCGACCGCCTTTGTCTCCCCAGTGGCGATGTTTACTACGCATCGCACCAGGTACCCATTTGAGGCTGAGTCGACCTAGGGGAGGCCCGGGACCGGTTCAGATAATCGTTACCGGTGTTGGCCGTGAGCGAGAATCGAACCCGGGTCACCGGCTTCGTAGCGCAGCGTAGCGCTAACTGCTACACCACCGCTCCGCACACACACAGACACGAGGGGATATTACCGTGCTATGGACTGGTCATTTCATAGCTCAACGAGCCAACACCGAGCCGTCTACTCGCCTGCCACTGCCAAATATCCAAACTGAGCAGGGGAGGGGCAGTTTTGTGTTCCTCAGCCTCTTCTCTAAGCGTTATCCACACCTCATCCACAACCACCACGCCACTGCAGGGCTGTGTGGATTAGGAATCTAATTCTCTTGTGCACAGAGTGTGGGGGAGGGGGAGCGTTTTTGTCTTGGCCATGGATTCCTTCCTTGATATGGGGATTATGGGGGTTCTGCATCGCCTGCCTTGGGACTGTGTATGTGTGTGTGTGCACGCGTGAACACGGAAACCCTCAGGACATTGGCGTGATAATGTCAGCTTGCCCTGTGCCCGCGTGTTCTGAGTGCACTCCACTGTGAACCATGTCAAACGGGCTACTCTCTCTGTGTGTGTTTGCGCGTGCACGAGTTGGGTTTACACATTCGGGCGACACAAAGACACGCTTTGTTATTTTGACACGTACGCATTTGTGACCAATATTATTCATGAATCTTGTGGATTTACTCTCCAACACACCGGTGGCCTGAAGTAGTAACTAATTGGCACGTTTCGTTTACTTGACAAATCTTATGAGTTGGCTATGTCAGGTGGTGGCGGGCTACGACACATTTATACTTGAGTGGTCTCACCCAAAAACCTTTGTTATCAAAGACATTGTACAACGTAAGAGCCACCATAGTCGTATTTTGTAAAATTCCATATATCGTGCAGTGAATATCAAGTCTCGACTGATATATATTTCGAAATAAATATATATTTTTAAATATTTTAGTTTCTAACAAACTAAATTTTGGAGTTAAAGAGCAATTGCCAGTGAAATGAGTGTCCCTACAAACATTGCACCGAATAATTGATGGAAAGAGAGTCATTGATCCCAAAGCTCCTTTAACTACTTAACTGATGGCACGCCTTTGTTGAATGTTTTATTATTGGGCTTATTGTTATGCTTTTAATCCAGTAACGCCTTAACTGAGCCTCAAGACCATTTTCAGGAGGGTCCTGCCAAGTGTGTTCGCAGTCGGGATCGATGCTGCTCTGTAATCCCAATTGAGTAATTTACATGAACTGAAATTTTGATTTAAAGCTTTCGTGACTGCAGTAATTCATATTCTTAGCTCTTTCGGTAAAGTCACGTTGAAGGGAAACAATAAAATATATAAATAAATATAAATAAAATAATAAATCGTTCATATTTTATTATTTTATTGTTTCCCTTCAACGTGACTTTACCGAAAGAGCTAAGAATATGAATTACATGAAGTGGTTCAGCATTGCGATGTGTGGCCAATACCGGTTACATTGTGGGGGGGGGGGGGGGGGGGGGGGGGGGGGTATAGGAGGAAACCAGCGTAAGTATGTATGTAAGCTGAACTTCTTTCGGGTCGTACATAGCCAACCGCGCTAATCGGAGGTGTGGGGGAAGGACACAAAAACCAAACACAAACAGCAGTTCTAAAGAAATAAGTTTTCAATCCGAATTTAAAAGTGTATAGCTCTATAATTACGGCGGATCTTACATTTTACAATATGTCTTAGTTCCTCCATCATGTGGAGACCCTAATTGTGTAAACATGAGTGACCTCTGATTTAAAGCTTTCGTGACTGCAGGGATTCATATTCTTGGTGCTTTCGGTAAAGTCGCGTAGAAGGGAAACAATAAAATAATACAAATATAAAACAATACAATTATCACGACGTTTCGACTGCAATACAAGCAATCATCATCAGGTGTGAAAACCACAGCAAGAAATTTTGAAAAAAGTGGCGGTTTTTTAACGTTAGCACCACGGAGAGCGATTTGGCAGTTTATTCAGATGGACGAGTCCATCTATGTTCGGAAAAGAGGAGGGGTGAGACGAAAATAATGGATGCGGTCTGAAAGCCATCGTAAGCGTGAACAATCAATTAAGACCCGAAATGATTTATCAAATCAAATCCTTCCCCCTCCTCTTTTCCGAACATAGATGGACTCGTCCATCTGAATAACTGCCAAATCGCTCTCCGTGGTGCTAACGTTAAAAAAAACCGCCACTTTTTTCAAATTTTCTTGCTGTGGTTTTCACACCTGATGATGATTGCTTGTGTTGCAGCCGAAACGTCGTGATAATTTTATTGTTTTATATTTTTATTATTTTATTGCTTCCCTTCTACGTGGGGACTTTACCGAAAGAACCAATAATATGAGTGACCTGTTTGACATGGTTCACAGTGGAGGATAGTCTCATGAGACAGGGCACAGGGCAGACTGACGTTACATCAACGTTCTGAATGACTGTTGGTCTCACACACACGGTCCCAATGCATGTGATGCACACCCCCATATTAAGAGGTCATGCATAGCCAAGGAAATTTTTTTTCTAAGAGTACCAGGAGGAACCCCATGGAGAATAGGGGGGGGGGGGGGGTTGGGATCATACAGACTCCACACAGTCACCCAAGTCAGGATTCGAACCCAGGCTTATGCTGTTCAGCAACGCGCGACCCTGCTGCACACCATAGACTGCCTTTGATGAGTTTTAAGCACGAAACGGTATATTATTCACACTGGAAGCGCGATACATTACCTAAGACAGTGCAGCGAATGTGCAAATGCAATTTACAAGCTGTGGTAGATGCATATTGCAAGAATCGCCATTACAAACAATCTATATTGTATCGCGTCGTGAAAAAGTATCACGCGGCAAACCCCTGGTACTTGGCGAGTAATGTCGGGGACTATCTGGGTGCATGGCGTTGCATCGAGATGAGAAGTCGGGGTCGCCATACCAAATTTGGTTCTGCGCTTAATTTTGATCAATTCCGGCACTTGACGACGAACCCATCAGTTTGCATGTCGTGCAGCAAAAGTGCTCCCCTCTCTCGTCTGGGCCAAGAGGTAACCTGGGGCGCTCTCAGATGGAGCCCTGCGATATCTGCTTCTGTGGCAGGGGCCCAGAGTTACAAGTCCAATCGAATTTAGTGCCACCAGAACTCTGACACAAAAGGGTCAGACTGCTCCGCGGAAGATTGCGAATAGCCACTTCGTCTCGTGACAAAAGCGATGCCGAGAGCACAATCGTGATCAAATTGTGGGGTAAATGCCAACAACAAAAACAGTCACACAATACGTGACCCTTCACTTCGATGGGCGCATGCCAAAGTTTTACCAATCCACCACTCCAATCAAACAAAACAACGCGTGATGGTCAGACGGGTGCCCATCTGACCATCACGAGTTAGGGTTGCTCAGTCACATTCCATTAAAAGCCCCTTCTGTTCAATTGTAAACCTTTGTATGTCTCATTATTTCGTTCAGCCACCCCTCACCCACTCGCCCATGCACTACCCCGTGCCACGTGGAAGGGTTCTGCACAAATCCACTGACTGCCGTCCAGTCAGTCTCATTATTTCTCAGCCGTGAGCCCACACCGTGCTTGTGAAGAATCCAGCCAAGGCTGTGTTGGCAGTTTGCGGCGTTAACGGGGATGTGGAGAATTATTTCAGAGGCACAAATTCACCCGTCATCTTTAGCCGCTGTTGATAAACGTCAGATGTGATTTGTACCGAGTTGGTTCGTAATTTCAAAGCTGTAAATGAGAAACCTCATTAATACGGACACGGTGGTTCGTGTTTCCGACTCGATAAAAACCTCTATCGCGTGTTCTCTAAAAACAAACAAACAAAAAAAACGCGTTAGTGCTGTAGACACGTCAAACTCTGTCGGTGAGATAATTCGCTGTTTAATTTCGCTGGGCTGACCGAGAAAGTTTTATCTTGGATCATACACATCCTTAATTACGTTCAATTAGAATCGCGTTCCGCAAGTTAGACCTGGCACGTGGCTCATTATCGGTCGCAAACAAAAAAAAATCCAAACGCTATTTTACATTCGCTAACAGTACAACATTAACAACCACGCCGCCGTGCCCTGCGGCCAACCGCTCTGAATCACCGCGATGGAAACCTCCTCCGCTGTGGCGCCGCGTGGAGGGCCCCGTCCCGTCTCCCCGCTGCTGCTGCTGCTGCTGGTGGCCGCGACGGCACCGCAGCTGCCGTGCCGCGCTCAGTTCCCCAGGGCCTGCGCCACGGTGGCCGCGATCCGCTCCCGCGAGTGCTGCCCGCCGCTCTCGCCCGGTGCCAGCCAAGGCTGCGGGGCCGAGGTGGCTCGCGGCTCCTGCAGCGAGGTGAGGGCCGACCTGAGGCCCTGGTCGGGGCCGTACACGTTGCGCAACGTCGACGACCGGGAAAGGTGGCCTCTGAAGTTCTTCAACCGAAGCTGCGTGTGCAACGGTGAGCGTCGCCGGGACGAAGGACCTCCCGTCGGCACGCGGTCGGTTCTGGGTGGTACCAATTTATAGCACCAATTTATAGCAGCTTAAGAGTGCGGAGGGTCCAGGGTTGGCTCTGCGTGGTGCGAAAGAAGTTCAACGTACATCCGCACGGCACATTCAGTTATTCGTATGGCCGATGCGGATGTCGAGAAAATAACTATTATTTTACGTTGAGCTGGTTGAGCCCCAGATCATTGCAAGAGGAGTCGCGGAGTGCATCGCTGTGATGATGGCTCATTCCTACTTGCGAATCGGGGCGTTGAGTCGTTCTGTGATTTATTATCTGTTCTGGGTGGCCACAGTCACTGCACACTGGAGAGTTTAAACTTTTCCATTCGTGCATCAATCACAATCACTGATGGTTTGTCGCGCAACTGGCCGCAGATTCTAGAATGCGATGAGCGATGGCCTCATACAAATCACCGATTGATTTCACGAAAAAAAATAACAACGCATTCCTTAAAATGTGGTATTTTACTTATTTTTTCATATTTAGAATTGAACTGTTTGGTGTGATTAATATGTGATGAATACTGTTTACGAGGAATGTCAAATGGGTGCGAGTTAGTATGGATAGTCAGTATGGCAATTTGAAGGCCCTTCGCAAGTTGTTCCAAAGCTTGTCTCTGACACACGGTGGTGCGTTGACCACGCTGCAAACGAGATTTAATAAATACGTGGGAAAAGACGTGGTTGATTCCACAGTAAGGGAATTGCAAAAGCAATGCAGGGATATTGGACACCGTTGTGACATGGGTACGTGTGTACCCACGCCAAATCTGCCCTATAAGACGTGGGCATGTAACGATGCATATATTGGCAAATTAATGTGTATTCTTATTTTCATGATAAATGAATCGAATCATACATGCGAGAATCAAACATACCATAATGGGGAGACTGTACAAACGAACGAGAAAAAAATATATAAGAAACAATCGGGACAGGGTAAAAACGAGACAAAAATAATATATTCTTGAATGGTGACACTGATCAAATGTCTATGGGGAATGGTGTGTAGGAGGTCAATTGTAATGTGTCTCGTAATGATATTTGTAAGCTCCAAGAGTCAACACAAGCCACGCTGTTGAGAGCGAGGGGCCGACCCTTACGTGAGATGGTCTGGCTGACTGTAAATCATCAAATCATTGAACTACAGTACTTATAGAATATTAATGACATTGCTTCATTAGCATCCAATGCACGCAATTAAGACTGAATACCAATTAATTAACTGAATATTTACTTTTTGGTTCTTTCGGTTAATTACGCAGAAAGAAAATAAGTTAAATGATAGAATACGACGTTTCGATTGCAACACAAGCAATCATCATCAGGTACGAATGAATGAGAGAAAACAAAGCTAGTAAACTTATAAATAGAATGCGATACAACACAGAGAGTCGGCTAACATAACATTCAACACCCTACCTGGTTCATTACGTTCTTCTAAAGATTGCTAAATTTGAGAGAGAGACAAAACACAGTACAGGAGACACACAGAGACACATAAGCAGAGAGAGACACACACAAAGACACACAGAGAGAGACACACAGCATATACACACAGAGAGACACACATAGGCACACAGAGAGAGACAACACATAGACACACAGAGAGAGACACACAGAGAGAGAGACAACACAGAGACACACAGAGAGAGACACACACATAGACACACAGAGAGAGACACACACACAAAGACACACACAGAGAGACACACACAGAGACACACAGAGAGAGACACACACAAAGACACACAGAGAGAGACACACAACATATACACACAGAGAGACACACACATAGGCACACAGAGAGAGACACACAACATATACACAGAGAGACACACACATAGACACACAGAGAGAGACAAAAGAGAGACACACAGAGAGAGAGAGAGACACACATAGGCACACAGAGAGAGACACACACAAAGACACACACAGAGAGACACACACAGAGACACACAGAGAGAGACACACACAAAGACACAGAGAGAGACACACAACATATACACACAGAGAGACACACACATAGACACACAGAGAGAGACACACACAAAGACACACACAGAGACACACACAGAGACACACAGAGAGAGACACACAAAGACACAGAGAGAGACACACAACATATACACACGGAGAGACACACACAAAGACACAGAGAGAGACACACAACATATACACACAGAGAGACACACACGTAGACACACAGAGAGAGACAACAGAGAGACACACAGAGAGATAGACACACACATAGGCACACAGAGAGAGACACACACAAAAACACACAGAGAGACACACACAGAGACACACGGAGAGAGACACACACAAAGACACACGGAGAGAGACACACAACATAGACACACAGAGAGAGATAACACAGAGACACACAGAGAGAGACAACACAGAGACACACAGAGAGAGACAACACAGAGACACACAGAGAGAGACAACACAGAGACACACAGAGAGAGACACACACATAGACACACAGAGAGAGACACACACAAAGACACACACAGAGAGACACACAGAGACACACAGAGAGACACACAAAGACACACAGATAGAGACACACAACATAGACACGCAGAGAGAGATAACACAGAGATACACAGAGAGAGACAACACAGAGACACACAGAGAGACACACACATAGGCACACAGAGAGAGACAACACAGAGACACACAGAGAGACACACACATAGGCACACAGAGAGAGACACACAGAGACACACAGAGAGAGACACACAGAGACACACAGAGAGAGAGACAACACAGAGACACACAGAGAGCGACAACACAGAGACACACAGAGAGAGACAACACAGACACAGAGAGAGACAACACAGAGACACAGAGAGAGAGAGACACACACAGAGAGAGACAACACAGAGACACAGAGAGAGACACACAGAGACACACAGAGAGACACACACATAGGCACACAGAGAGAGACACACACAAAGACACACAGAGAGAGACACACACATAGGCACACAGAGAGAGATAACACAGAGACACACACAGAGAGATAACACAGAGACACACACAGACACACACAAAGACACACAGAGAGAGACAACACAGAGACACAGAGAGAGAGAGACAACACAGAGACACAGAGAGAGAGAGACAACACAGAGACACAGAGAGAGAGAGACAACACAGAGACACACAGAGAGAGACACACACATAGGCACAGAGAGAGATAACACAGAGACACACAGAGAGACACACACATAGACACACAGAGAGACACACACAGAGACACACAGAGAGACACACACATAGACACACAGAGAGAGACAACACAGAGACACACAGAGAAAGACACACACAAAAACACACAGAGAGACACACAACATAGACACACAGAGAGAGATAACACAGAGACACACAGAGAGAGACACACACAGAGACACACAGAGAGAGACACACACAAAGACACACAGAGAGGGACAACACAGAGACACAGAGAGAGAGAGAGACACACACACAGAGACACACAGAGAGACAACACAGAGACACACAGAGAGAGAGACAACACAGAAACACACAGAGAGAGACAACACAGAGACACACAGAGAGAGACAACACAGAGACACACAGAGAGAGAGAACACAGAGACACACAGAGAGAGACAACACAGAGACACACAGAGAGAGAGACAACACAGACATACAGAGAGAGACACACACAAAGACACAGAGAGAGACACACAACATATACACACAGAGAGACACACACATAGACACACAGAGAGAGACACACACAAAGACACACACAGAGAGACACACAGAGACACACAGAGAGACACACAAAGACACACAGATAGAGACACACAACATAGACACGCAGAGAGAGATAACACAGAGATACACAGAGAGAGACAACACAGAGACACACAGAGAGACACACACATAGGCACACAGAGAGAGACAACACAGAGACACACAGAGAGACACACACATAGGCACACAGAGAGAGACACACAGAGACACACAGAGAGAGACACACAGAGACACACAGAGAGAGAGACAACACAGAGACACACAGAGAGCGACAACACAGAGACACACAGAGAGAGACAACACAGACACAGAGAGAGACAACACAGAGACACAGAGAGAGAGAGAGACACACACAGAGAGAGACAACACAGAGACACAGAGAGAGACACACAGAGACACACAGAGAGACACACACATAGGCACACAGAGAGAGACACACACAAAGACACACAGAGAGAGACACACACATAGGCACACAGAGAGAGATAACACAGAGACACACACAGAGAGATAACACAGAGACACACACAGACACACACAAAGACACACAGAGAGAGACAACACAGAGACACAGAGAGAGAGAGACAACACAGAGACACAGAGAGAGAGAGACAACACAGAGACACAGAGAGAGAGAGACAACACAGAGACACACAGAGAGAGACACACACATAGGCACAGAGAGAGATAACACAGAGACACACAGAGAGACACACACATAGACACACAGAGAGACACACACAGAGACACACAGAGAGAGACACACGCAAAGATACACACAGAGAGACACACACACAGGCACACAAAGAGACACACACACATAGGCACACAGAGAGAGAGATAACACAGAGACACACACAGAGAGACACACACATAGGCACACAGAGAGAGAGATAACACAGAGACACACAGAGAGACACACACATAGGCACACAGAGAGAGATAACACAGAGACATACAGAGAGACACACACATAGGCACACAGAGAGAGAGATAACACAGAGACACACACAGAGAGACACACACATAGGCACACAGAGAGAGAGATAACACAGAGACACACAGAGAGACACACACATAGGCACACAGAGAGAGATAACACAGAGACATACAGAGAGACACACACATAGGCACACAGAGAAACAACTCCTCTGTGTCGAGGCCTTAAATAGAGGGAGAACCAAAAAGTAATTTTCTGCAGTCACGAAAGCTCCAAATAAAGTTTGAAAATTTACTATTTAATGTTTCAAACTTCAGAACAAATATCACTATAGTTCGGTTTAATCCGAGTCACATGAATCACCGCGTGAAGCACAGCAGGATTAGTTTCTGACGGGCTTGAAGCAAAACAAGGTTAAAGAGAGCTATGCACGTACGTGTGTTGAACTTCTTTCGCACCGTATGTAGCCACAACCGCGGTCATTGGAGGTGCCGAGGGAAGGTCAACTGAACACAAAAGTTCCGCACAACACACAAGCAGAACATTGCATTGCTTCAGGATTGTTAGAGACTGCCATCTGGATGCCATTGCCCACCGAGTGTCCTACTGCACGCGGCTTCATTAGCGCACGGACAGTGGTTATTGGGCCGGAGTTTGGTTCAACTTTGAAATATTTATCAATTCAAACCAAAATTACAGATACATTTTTTTAATTGGTAAGCCAATTTTTGGCTTACTCTCGAGTCCGGCTTTGAGAGGTTCCGCTAATGGACTCTGTTGTCATTCATCAAATCGCCTGCCACACGTCTCGTCGACTAAGATCTCCCCGTGTGGCCATTAACATACTGTTGGGTGCAAGTGCTGTTAGCGAGCACCTATTAAGGCCGGCGCGATGGGCCGCGCCTGGCCGCCTTTGTCTCCGCCGGTGTTGACTCTACCTATCGGGGAGGGCCCGGCCTATCGGACCGGTTCAAGACATTCGCTATTGACCAATGAGCGGCAATCGAAGCACGCGCGCTAACCGGTGCACCACCGCTCCTCGCCCCGGCCCCTAACCTCCCCGCCACTCGCACAAATAAAGATCCACATAATAGCCTTTACAGAACGTTGGGGGGCAAGTGCTGTTAGCGAGCACCTGTGAACGCCGGCACGGCACACGAAGGGGGTTGGTTGGCCAGCACCCGGTACTGACTTGACACTGAGTCGACCTCGGGGTCCGTAGACGCGGCGTCGCCGCTGCCGCATACCCACCGCTCCGCCGGTCTCACAAGCAGCACGTGGGGGCGCGCAGGTAACTTCTGGGGCCACAACTGCGGGCAGTGCCGGCCGGGCTGGGCGGGCACCTCGTGCGATGCGCGAGCCCCGACCGTGGTTCGTCGCGACGTGCGGAGCCTGTCGCCGAGCGAGAGGGCCGCCCTGCTGGGCGCCCTGCAGCTCGCCAAGGAGACGCCGCACCCGGACTACGTGGTGTCCACCAACCACTGGCTCGGCATCCTGGGGCCCGACGGGAACAGCCCCATGTTCAGCGACGTTTCGGTGTACGACTACTTCGTGTGGCTGCACTACTACTCCGTGCGGGACACCCTGATGGGTGCGTTTGGGCCGTCCGGAGAAAGCTCTTCCCCGGGGACGGTGGTCGTTCTCAAGCCGCGTTCTTTGGGTCTTTCGGTAAAGTCACGTGGATAGGTTGAAAGAAAATAGCAAGAAACCACGACGACGTTTCGACCGCAACGCAAGCGATCGCCATCAGAAAGGGAGGGGGAGGGGGGGGTAAAAAACGTCGTCTTAGTTTTTTGTTATTTTCTTTCAACCTATCCACGGGTTTTTATCAGAGATTTGTTCACGAGGCAATTCAGATCTACAAGCACAGACACAATTTCAACCGAGAAGATGGTTTCAAATTAAGCAACCATTGGAAAGATGTTCTAAATCGAACTAAACATTAAACTAATTTTCAATGGTACAGTATATTTTTTCAAGTAGTGGTACCCCAAAACTTTCGCAGCTCTTAAAAATTCCCTTTTCACACCATCAATAGGTAAACTCCCCCTCCCCCCCCCCGCGCCAAACGGCAAGTCCACCCGCACGTACACCACCTCTATGCTAAGTCGGCCAATCAAATGCTAATTTTTTTATGCTAATTCATTTGTCAAGGCACCTTGTTTCCTCGCACACAGCTTAAAGGTCGCGGTCTGAGCTTGGCTGTGTTCCACTCCAGCGCTGTCCTCGAGACAGCCTGATCCCTTCACCCGATGAAGGCCGCTTGTGTGGTGGCCGAAACGTCGTGATTTTTGTTGTTTTATTTTATTTTTTACCTACGTGACTTTACCGAATAGAACCAAAGAGTATTTACCGAAAGACCCCAAAGGATATGAATTCCTGCAATCACGACGGAAGCTTTAAGTCGAGATGTATTCTCAAACCTTGTTTGGCTACTGCTGTACCCTCCTGCCGCGCACTTGTTGAAGATTGTTTCGACCAAGTACGCAAGCCGCCTCCCCCCCCCTCCCCTCCCCCATGCCTGACCCAGCACGGTTCTGAGCAATGAAGCCATGAATAAGCAACATTCTTTGAGGTTCTCCTAACTATTTGAGCAACTGCGAGCGAATATGGAAACATAACGGATCCTACATCATTAGACCTCCTTTGCCAGTACCAAAGCATAATAATAATAATAGGGGTTTCCCCATTTTTTTTCTTGGCAACAAAACTGAAACCTTTTCACAATAATTCATGTTCTGCATTAACCACAATACCTGCGATTGGGTCGAGGCTCGAAAGCAAAGTCGTCCCTGGCGTGGACCAATCAGGTTCAAGGACAATGCCACATATATTATCAGAGTGTGTTTTTTATGTTTGCATTTTGACTGCAGGTATTGCGGTTAATGCAGAACATGAATCCTCGTAAAAAGGTTTCAGCTTTGTTGCCAGGAAGAAAAAAGGGAGAAAAAAACCCCCTATTACTATAACGGATCCTCTTCATGTATGACGTAATATGTTCGTGCTCGTTGGTTACTCATTGAAACCAGTGGTTACTCGTTTTAAACTCACGACGGACTCTGCGTTACACTTCATCTTGTTCCTCCCCTATCTCTCCGAAGGTCCTGGCCGTCCCTTTACAGCCATCGACTTCTCACACCAGGGGCCGTCTTTCATCACCTGGCATCGGTACCACCTTCTCCTGCTCGAACGAGACATACAGGTCAAGGGACAAGCACAAGGCTCCGTTCAGTGCCGGATTAAGCGAGATGTTATAAAGGGGGCCCTAAATAAATAAATAAAAAACCACGTAAATATTCGAACGCAATATTTTTACTTGCATAGTCAAGCGATTGTATTTTTTCATTTGCTATTCAGCCAGATAATACGATAAGTCGCTAACCTTAAACACCCGGTCGTTCATAAAAGTTGAAGGCACTATAGTACTATAGTAATAGAGCGAGTGCTACCGGAATTGATAGCCTGAAAGCGTTTAGCGCGGGGCTCTTGAAAATGCGGGGCCCGTAGCATATGTAGTAGCTACTTTTGCTACGAGGATAATCCGGCACTGGCTCCGTTAGCTTTCAGGGCTCACCGCTTTCCTGGGGAGGCTCAACCACATGGTTGGAGCTGGCGGCTCCTCCCTCCAAGTTAGCCCCCGCCCACTTTTACATAGCCACGCCCGCTCAACGCTAGCCCCGTCCACACGTTGAGTTTTTGGAATTAGAAGTATATTATTTGGGTGTGGAGATGATTTTGTTATACAGTAAATCCCCGGGTTGCAGAAGACCCGACTTAGGAAAATCCGACTTTATGGAAAATGCTCCCATAAATTATAAATCATGTTTAAAAAAAAACATTTTAATATCCGGAAACGTTTGCGTTAGTTACGAGGGGTAAGCTCCACCTTACGCCTCGCTCCCCCAAACCACCATTAGGATGAAGGAAAATGGATTTTTTTGTAGCATTACGTGATTCTTTTATTCTTTTGTAGCATTGAGTAATTGTAAGGATTATATGCTTGGAACTATATTTTTTGCCCCCGTGTTTCTATTGCTATCTTTTTTCATTTGAAGTTTATTTCATGAGAAATTTTACTGTATGTACTTTATTTAAGACAATTACATTTCGATTGCTTATGGTCTCAGCCAACAGCTATCAGTGAAGCCTCGGCCTAGCCTAATGCATGGTAAACAAACATCGGAAGTGACTGCTCTCTGTTAACAATTAAAATTAAAATGTTTCGTGGTATTCATAAACAATTGGACACATTATATGTTCCGTTAGTTTAATTATGGGGGTAGAGTTAAGGTAGAAATGAAAGAATCGTAGGAAGTGCAGAGTGTACGTACAGCAATACGATACAGGAAGCGATAGACAACGGATGACAGCGTGACACGGCACCGAGATAAAATAAACTCGTAATTGGGTAGGGGAGGCACAACTATTTCCGGCTATGGGATTTTATCGTTGATTTTGGGGGGAAATAATTTAGTTTCCAACATATAGAAATTCGGGTTACGGATCATTCTCGGGAACCTAACCCTTCCGTAACCCGGGGACTGCCTGTACTGTGCACATATATGTGTGGCGATTTTGAAAACGCCACGTCAATGCTATCTTGCCAAGATATACGCCTCATAATGAAATGTGAATCAAAGTAAAAAAAACACAGTGGTGTTTATTTATTATCAATTAAAAACACTGCTGGTATAAGAAGGCATAACATACAAAGCCCTGCATATAAACTGTACATACAATTAATAAACTATTGCCACCTCACAGCCACACCCTAACCCACAGCTCAACCCAACTGTCTGGGATCCCAGATAGTCTTCCACCCAACTATAATGCTACTTAATGTCCCAAAGGCTGTCTTGTTTGTGCCAAATGATCTGGCCTCATGATATGTACTGTATGCTAAACAACTTTCTATAAAGGGGAGTGGTCGGGGCTACCTGAGTAGTGGGCGGGGTCTGTGAGTAGTAGATACAGCCAGTGTCAGAAGCAGCCAATCCACTCACTGTGTGGGCAGGGATAGTTTTTGAGTGGGCGTGGCTATGCACACGTGAGGTAGTCAGCTCATGGCGTGGTTCCAGGTGAGCCATCCAGAAATGTGGTAGTGTATCCGAGTGTGCTAATGTTGTGTTTGCTTTTACATCTACGTTTTTCAACATGTGTGTGTACAGAGGCGGTGGGGAGCAGTAGTGGGAGCGGTGGTGTAGTGGTTAGCACACTGCATACGAACCCGGCAGCCCGAGTTCGATTAACGCTCACGGTCAACACCAGTGACGAATATCTGAACCGGTCGTGGGCCTCTCCTAGGTCGACTCAGCCTCAAATGAGTACCTGGTGCGGTGTGCAAACATTGCCACTGGGGAGACAAAGGCGGCCGGAGGGTGGTGCTGGCCACCCACCCCCTCGTGTGCCGTGATCCACTCTTCATGGGTACTACTCGCGAACCGGACTTTCCCCAGCAATCTGTTAAGGCTATACGGGGGATCTTTGTGTTTGTCTTTGTACAGAGGCTCACAGGAGATCCGTCATTCGCGCTTCCCTTCTGGGACTTTGCGACGGGCAGTGCCGCGTGTGACGTGTGCGTGGACGACCTCTTCGGGGGCCCTGACCCCGCAGAGCCCACTCTGCTGAGTCCAGTATCCCCCTTCTCCCAGTGGCAAATCGTCTGCAACAGGTGCCAGCATTCCCGGTTTAACAATAATTACGATGATATTTCTTATTTTGTTTCGCGATGGTGCATTGGCGGTGGTGCACAAGCACGAGTAACTTCAATTCAACAGATATGTCAATTACACTGCCCTCTCTAATATGGAGAAGGGCCATTGCCTGCTGTAGCACCTATTTTATATATATTTTTCTTTTTGGGCAGTGTAATTGGTGATGTTTTGAGGGTTTTTTTTGTTAATGAGCCTACTGACACAACTGAGGACGGATTTATTTATTTTTACCCACAGTTCGTAACGTGTGCTCTGTGTATGGTACCTGTCTGTGGGGGGGCGGTGGCATAGCGATTAGGGCGCTGCGATATGGACCCGGCAAGCCGAGTTCAATTCCCTCTCACGGTCACCGACACTGGTGACGAATGATCTGAAGCGGTCCTGGGCCGCACGGTGCGAAAGAAGTGCAACGTACGTACAGCACATGGGCATGAGTCAGACAGTCGGGGACGACGTTGCTGTGAGGGTTTGACCATTTAAGTAATTTGTGAGTAATTGATCGAATTTGGACCATAAAAGGCTGGCACAGATGGCCTACTTTTTCATATATTATATATTAGCTAGCAGGAAGTACCCGGCGTTGCCCAGGTCTTAAACATATTTCAAAACTACTCTTAAAAATCTAACAGCAGTGCATACTGACTGTGGTGGTACCTGCTATGATTACAGCAGTGCATACTGACTGTGGTGGTACCTGCTATTCTTACAGTACTGCATACCAACTGTGGTGGTACATGCTGACTCTATAGCAGTATTTATCGAATCTATAGCACAAAGTACTCACCTGACAGAGTGGCGTGGTGGGGCCTAGTCCTGTGCAGAGCCTGCGGCCTCGCCTAGATTGTCCAGCCGGCCGAGGTGGCACCTTGGCAGGCTGAGGCTGGGCTGCTACCCCTGACCACCCCCTCCCCCCTCAGCCACAATGTCCCCGGCCGCTCTGCAGTAATATCTACGACTTATAGTGGTAGCATCTAGTGACTGTATAGTAGTAATAACTGCACGCATCGGGGTGGGGGGACATGAAACAGTGAAGAATTTACCTGAGCGTTTAGTGTATTTTTATAGGATTTTTAACGCAAAAAGAAAATGTCCCCCTCACTCCCACTGAAGGTGTGCGACTTGGCATGGGCTGTCATCCCCACCAAAGGCGCATGAGTTGGTATGGTTGTGCACACGTCATAAATAAATAAATAAATAGGAAGCGCTCAGAAATCGCACTAAATCGCTAATTAAACTAATTTAAAGTTGGCGTATGTGAAAAAGGAATAGCGCTTTCTCACCGCGGGGCTTACGGCGTGGTACCTGGCTATTTTTTTTTTTATGTAAACCCCACCGTTGGAGAGCCAAGCACGCGACCACACACAAACCCACACACAAACCCCGCCACAAACCCACACACTTAACTTTTTTACCTTTATATATAGTATATATAACGTCACGGAATCTTTAACAGTATTGACCTGGGGGCAATCTCTGGGCTCCAGCCGCGGACCTTTTTTCACGGCGCTGCGGGGAAATACGCCACCAGCGCCGTGGCGCCGTGCTACGTTCACCACCGCCGCCCCCGCACGGCGTTTCCGCGCGGGCTCGTGTCGTGTGTTCGGTCGCTCCACTTACGCTGCGGGGTGGGGGCGGGGGGCGGGGGGGGAAACCCTGTGCGGGTGACTGCAGCTTGGACGAATACAACCTGCGAGTCACCCTGTGCAACGGATCGGCCGAGGGACCCATCCGTCGGAACCCGGGCGGCGACCTCTCCCACCCGGGGGCCGGGCGCCTGCCCACGCGCGACGACGTAGCCCAGTGCCTCGGCGTGGCGCGCTTCGATGGCGAGCCGTTTTGGACCAACTCCAGCCGCAGCTTCAGGTGGCACGAAAATAAAAAAAACAAAAGGAAAACAAACATTAACCCCTTCTCCCGTTCCGAGATGTCTGCAGGTTCCAGGGATGGGGGGTGTCCCCTCCAGATTTGAAGTTTTCCTGACTGCAAGGATCCATACTCTTTGTTTCTTTCGGTAAAGTCACGTAGGTCGAAAAAATTATAAAAAATAAAATAATTTAAATAACGACGTTTCGATTGCAACACAAGCAATCATCATCAGGTGTGACAACCACAGCAAGAGCGTCTCGATTAGCTGTGATTTCTTGTCCCGTTGTCTGTTAAAAGCTCTAACAGATAAGTGGAATCCCTCCCCGTAGAGGTGGTTCATTATAGATTACGTGACTTTACCGAAAGAACCAAAGAATATGGATTCTTGCAGTCACGAAAACTTCAAATCTAGAATGAACCACCTCTACAGGGAGGGATTTCACTTATCTGTTAGAGCTTTTAACAGACAACTGGACAAGAAATCACAGTTAATCGAGACGCTCTTGCTGTGGTTGTCACACCTGCTGATGATTGCTTGTGTTGCAATCGAAACGTCGTGATTTAATTTAATTAACTTTTTATAATTTTTTCTACCAATGTGACTTTACCGAAAGAACCAAAGATTATGGGGGTGTCCCGTTCGCCGTTGAAGCTCGGAACGCGTGAGCGGTTCAGCGGAGAGGCATAGCACCGCTGTTTTGAAAGACATTGTACTCACCGCAGAGAACTGTAGCGATACGACCGCACTCGATGATAGCTGGTGCCAAACTGTGCCGCATGCCCTTCTGCATGGCCTTGTGCAAGCCTCGGTACTGATAAAGTTAATTTATTTGAGTTTTTCTTTCAGTTCCTTTCCAATGATGTACACGTCATTCGAACAGAATTGGTAGACAAACTGATGATGTACAGATACGCCATCGGAATGGGAAAGGGTTAAAACAATTCTCAAGGTGGTGACGGGAATAGTTTTTGATCAATAATTTTTACTTTACAGCCGTCTTTGTCAATTTTCATTTTTTTGGCATCGATTACAGGGGTTTCAAGTCACTTCTACGTAAATGATCGTTGTATCTAAACTTGTAAATAAAGATAAACAGGATACACATATTTTATATTTTGTCAAACAAATAAGTGCTTTCAAATTACTTATTTAAAATTCAGTGAAAAGTGGTAAATTCAGGTTGAAGTAGCTTGGCTCCAGCCAGTACGCGCCTTGGTCTTCACCAATAGGGCTGATGATGTAGCAGTCACCCGGCCCACACCAGACACTAGGGATGTTGTGATATGATTATTAATAATATTGTGATATTATATTTCACAATGTGACAATAATCGCGATATTGGTGTCGCTTAACTTTGTAATTATATTTCACATCGTTATCCAAATGAAATACAAATCTCAATTCAACGTGTTTTTCTTTTTAGCTTTATTTCTGCAGTTATTGGCGGCCGGGCTGAGACCATCAATGACCTCGCTACACTTGAGAAGCCGGTTTCATCACCCAGGACCTCAGTTTTGCCAACTCAGCGCTCTAACCTCTTAGCCCCCCGATCACCTCTTAGCCCCCCCACTTGCTAAAGAGTGACACCACCTAATATTCCAACCCTTCCTGGACAGTACTTGATTATATGCATGTTCCACCACCATCATCAGCATCATCATTAAATAGCCGTGATCTTTTTTTTCATTTGGTTCGTTTCGTTTCTCAGTCCGCTTGTCCTGGTGAGCGTCGCGGTCGACAGCCACGATCCAATATTCATAATTTGTTTTTATTAAAAGTAACCATAATCCATCCACTGCCGGATGAAGGCCTCACCAAACTGTCGCCACCAGCCACGGTCTCGCGATGCGACGATCTACCCATAGCCCTCGCGCATGCACGCACGCAGCCAATTGGATCGCTCAACCCACACGGTGGACACCGTCTCGGGAGTTCTCCCTTGCACGACGGCGCCACCGCAGTCTGGAACGTCCAACACCGCGCCCGAACAAACCCGCACGCGGTAGCTGCAGCGGTGGCGACGGAAACTCGCCCCGGCGCCACCCTGAGTCGTTCTCTTTGCCCAGGAACGCCTTGGAGGGCTACGACCACCCAGACGGGAGCTACGAGCCTGGGGTGCTGAGCCTCCACAACCTCGTGCATCGCTTCCTCAACGGCACGGGCGGCGCGTCCTTCTCGTCGGCCAACGACCCCGTGTTTGTGGTACGCCTAGTTGAGACGACACGCCAGTGCGCGTGTGTGTGCGAGTGTATGCATGCGGGGAGCGGTAGTGTAGCGGTTAGCGCGCTGCGCTGTGAAGCCGGCGACCCGGTGCTCGATGCCCGCTCATGGTCGATACCAGCGACGATTATCTGAACCAGTCCTGGGCCTCCCTTCGGTCGACTAAGCCTCAAATGAGTACCTGGTGCGGTGTGAAAACATCGCCACGAGGGAGACAAAGGCGGCCGGGCGTTGGTACTGGCTTCCCACCCCCTAGTGCGCCGTGTCGGCCTTCATAGGTGCTCGCTAACAGCACTTGCCTGAACAGTCTGTTAAAGGCTATATCGGGGGATATCTGTCTGTACGTACGTATGTTGAACTTCTTTCGCTCCGTACGTAGCTAATCGTGCTAATCGGTGGGGCACCGCGGGGGAAGGACAACAAACTAAACATACAAAAGCAGTTCTCGAGAAATTACCGGGGGCGTGGCAATGTGCACCCCCGGTCCGGAACTTTGGGGGCAAGTGTTTGGGGGCATCGTGTAGAGATCTCGTGCGAAACCTCCCGAACCTGATGAGCTGCAAGGTGGCCAGAATACCGACATCACGTGGTCACGTGGCGTAAGTTCCGGAATACCGACATCACGTGGTCACGTGGCATACGTTCCGGAATACCGACATCACGTGGTCACGTGGCGTACGTTCCGGAATACCGACATCACGTGGTCACGTGGCGTACGTTCGGGAATACCGACATCACGTGGTCACGAGACGTACGTTCCGGAATACCGACATCACGTGGTCCACTGAACCGGAATTGATAGCTTGAAATCATTTAGCGCATATGTAGAAGCTACTACATATGTAGCTACTTTTGCTACTAGGAACATCCGGCACTGCAGAGGGCTCAGTTTTGTACATTGCGCCTACGTCCATGCTAACCACAAGCAGGATTTTTTTTACGACACAATATGGTACGGTATGAAGTGTCACGATACAATAATGGCGTCATGTTTATTTGTACTTTTATGCACTGCACCTATGAAGAGATTCCTAAAAAGTTCATAAACTTCAGGTCAGTAAGCAGACGTTTGCCATGAGCTCTATAATCTATAATAATTATAATGCAACATGCTGTCAGAAAAAAAAGATACGATGTAATAATCACGGTGGCGCTAGGAGATATTATTTGGAAAAATTCAAATCGTATTTGAGGGAAATTATATAAGCCACAATAAACAGGATATGACAAAAAAAATTGGAAAATCTTACATCGTATATATTACTATTTATTGTGCGATATAAGATCGCCATTGATAATAAGAGGTTCTTAGCTCAATGGGCCTTACCCGAAATAAACGGACTGATATCACCGTTGGCTAGTTTCATACCAAGGCTTTAACGACTAATAGTATATGCTTCATATTTACTTAAGGGTTAGGTCGTGTCGGAGTCGTACCAATTGTTAACTATAACTCGCCACTTACCCAACAGTCTCAATCTAAGCTATAAACTAAACTATTTTTTATTTTACCAAGTCAGGCCCACTGAACTATATGGCTCTTTTTCAGAAGCCACCTGGCCACAAATGACAGCCAAACGAAGTGTATTATCATCACGTGGACATTTAGAGCAGCCAAACACTCTGAACGCGAGACATTGATTCTAAATGTGGAGGGGAAAACCGGAGGACCCGGAGAAAAATCCACGGGACTACGGGGGAAAGAGAGACACAGCAAACTCAAAATAAAGAGCAGGCGTCAGGGGTCGGGGGTCGGGATCGAACCCACGACTTCCTGCATACCGGGCGAGGTAGTTGACGCCTCGCCACCGCAGAGCCAATCAAACCAAACAAACACGTGGGCGAATGTGCCAAGCGATTTGTTTTTTTCAACATCGCCCCTTGCTCCACCGCAAAACTACAGGAGACGACATTTGAAGAAACCTAACGCCCCCCCCCCCCCCCGCGATAGCCTTGCACTCTGTAAGAATTGCACGCGAACGAATTCTCGCTTTGATTTCCCCCTCCCTGCCCCCCTCCGTGCCCCCCCCCCCCGCCTGCCACCCTCCCTGCCCCCCCCCCATTGTTCAGGTCCTCCACACGTTCGTCGACGCCGTCTTCGACGAATGGATGCGGCGGTTCCGTCCGAACGTCACGGAGGCTTGGCCCGAGCAATTGGCGCCGATTGGGCACAACCTCCACTACAACATGGTGCCCTTCTTCCCGCCCGTGCCCAACCAGCTCATGTTCGTGCCCGCGGAGCAACTGGGCTACGGCTACGACATTCAGCTGCCCGGTGAGCGGTCGTTTTGCGGGGGGGGGGGGGGGGGGGGGGGGCGCGCGTGTTCCTGCGGGGAGTGGTGGCGAAGCGGTTAGCGCTACGGTGCGCTGCGAACCCGCTCGAGCCAGGGTTCGATTCCTGCTCACGACCAACACCGTTGACGAATTGTCTGAGCCGGTGTCCTGGGCCTCCCGTAGGTCGACTCAGCCTCAAATGCGTGCCCGGTGCAGTGCGTAGTCAACATCGCCACTGGGGAGACAAAGGCGGCCGGGCGCGGTGCTCGCCACCCAAACCCCTTGTGCACCGTTCCGGCCTTCATAGGTGCTCGCTAACAGCACTTGCCCCCCTACAGTCTGTTAAGGCTACACGGGGGATCTTTGTTTTTGTGTTTCTGTGTGGATGGTCGTGGGGAGCGGGAGTGTAGTAGCGGTGAGCGCGATGCGCTACGAAGCCGCTCGACCCGGAGTTCGATTGCCGCTCACGGCCAACATCAGTGACGGCTATCTGAACCGGTGTCCTGGGCCTCCCCCTAGGTCGACTCAGCCTCAAATGTGCACTGTACCGAGTGGCGATGTGTGAACATGTGTAAACATCGCCACGAGGGAGACAAAGGCGTGAGTCGAAATAAAAAAAGAACTGCCCAACACATTTTTTGAGAAGGCAGATGGGGCACTCGCTAGGTCTTTTTGGGTGCTCTCTGACCGTGATTTTAGGAAGTGGGCCGAGTCAGAAATGCATGAGACTCAAGTGACACGGTAGAGGAAGAAGGAAAGTGAGGGAGTCGGGGGAGGCGGGGAGAGGAAGTTACAAAATGGGAAGTAAAATCGCATTGCATCAACAATAGGGAAACAAGTTCACCCCGCAGCGTTGTGGATGTTTGCAGTGTGGGTGCGCGTTTGGTGGAGTGTGCGGTGGCACTGTGCGTGGTGTTTTTGAGAGTGTGGTATAGGTGTCTGTGAGCGCTTGTGTCTGTTTATAGGCGGGGAGCCATAGGGTAGCGCTACGAACCCGGCGACCCGAGTTCGATTCCTGCTCACGGCCAACACCAGTGACGATTATTAACAGAACCGGCTATGGGCCTCCCCTAGCCGCAAATGAGTATCTGGTGCGATGCGTAAACATCGCCACTTGGGAGACAAAGGCGGCCAGGCAGGGGTGCCGCCATAAATTCTGGGCTCTATGGAAACCAAAATTTTTGGGCCCCCTACATTTTTTACAGATAAAATTTAACCCAATAAACATGCCCAGTATACTTTAAAAAAGATACTTAGCACATTGCATAGTTAAAATGTCTAAAGATGAGTACAAAGCCTACAAAAACAAGAAAAAAATATAGAAATATGTACTTGTTTAAATAAAAGGGAGAACATTTATTATCTCAATTGCAAGCACAACAGAACATAATGTACACATATTGACATATACTTTACATGAACAAGCTTTAGCTGGGTCAAACTGCTCAATCAGGAAACATCAGCTAGAACTAACCCATAATTAAATCAGTCCAGGAATAAAACTAGCTAGGCCAAAAGGGCTCAAAATGAAGACACACCAGGAGTAATGCCAGGCCTAAACCAGTCCAGGACTAAACAAGTACTGAACCAGACATCAACTGTTTGTTATCCAGGTCTAACAAAGTTATGTTCAACATCACTTTATAATGGCTCAGCGGCGTGCCTTTCTGCTGGCAAAATCACGTATCAAATCATCAAAGTACAGCTTTCTTGCCAGTTTGCTTTCAATGGATAGTATGGCAAGGTGACAAAGTCTATCCTGCAACATAGCAGACCTCAGATATTTTTTTTTATCAGTTTCAGCTTACTGAATGCTCTCTCGCCACCAGCAACGGTCACAGGCAGTGTGCAAAATATTCGCAAAACTATGCAGACCTGCCCAAAAATACTCTGCAGCTGCATCTTGTAAATGCTGTTGAGCAGATAAATTGGTGACAGACACCCTGTGAAAGTGGCCATGTATACAGAGTTGAGGTGTCTGACTTCATCTTCAAATTCACAAGTCAGATCAGTGTTGTATTTTGAAATCAATGGCTGGCATACAGAATGGATTTGATCATCACGTAACTGACCCATTTTTACAACTACAGAAAACTGATCCAAGATCTCAGCTGTTGTGGCAAACCTGGTACTTAAGTCATTGATTATGTGGTCCATCATGGGAAGAAACACAGTGTTTCTGAACATGGTGTCTGCACTGTGCTCCCTTGCTCCCTCTACCTCTGTCTCATCGTGAAACCGTTTTCTTTTCCTCTGGCGGCTGAATCCTGACCTGAACAGAGGGTTAATGCTCATCTGTTGGGCAACAAGTGATGCTTCAGAAAAGAAACTCTCCCATTCATCCCTCAGATGTTGCATCTCCTCCTGCAATGCTCTGATATTTTCTGCCTCTGTCTCAAGAGTTAATTTCCCTGACTGGAGAATAATATTCCTTTTGTCAATGGCTTGCAGAACTTTGACCCAAACAGTCAACAGAAAAACAGTATCAAAAGTTTCAAAATACTTTTTTAGGCCGCTGGCTTCAGACCGAGCCTCTGGTGTCAGACTGCAGGTTGAGAGGATGGCATCAAGAGCTTCTAGGACACTGGGCAGGTGCTTGGCTATAGGTTGAACAGCCTTAACCCTTGCACCCCACCGAGTGTCTGACAGACGATGTAAAGTGCAACCCGTTTTTGCCTTATAGATGGCCCATCGCTCTGGGCTGGCACTAACAAGTGCATAAAGGCGATTGACAAAGCCAAAAAAGTTGGTAACCTCTGGACTTGATTGAGCTGCATGCACACCAACAAGGTTCAGAGTATGAGACGCACAAGGGGAAAAAGTAGCCAGATTATTCTTTTTTAATAATTGGGCTTGAACCCCCTTGATTTTTCCAGATATGTTTGCCCCATTATCATAGCCTTGGCCCCTGCAGTCATTCAGATCTATGCCATGACTGTTAAGCACATTTACAATAATGTCTGCAATCTCACTTCCTGTTTTTTTGTGAAAATCTTTAAACTCCAAAAACCTTTCAACAACCTCCCATTTCTTGTTTTCTTGATCAAAACCTACATATCGTAAGAGTAATACATTTTGCTCTGTATGTGAAATATCAGGAGTAGCATCGCAAATGACTGAATAATAGACTGATTCCTCCCTTTTCTTAAGAATACTACTTAACACTCGTTTTCCACATAACTCAATAAATTCGTTCTGAATATCTGAGCTTAAATAGTGCATCAATATTGTTCCTGTTTTTTTGTCTCTGACTTTTTGTAGATGTTCGTTGAGTAGTGGGTCATAATGGGACAGGAGCTCAAGGGTGCCCAAGAAGTTGCCATTATGAATGTCCCCCAAGTCTTTTGTTTTACCCCTAAAGGGTGAATTTCGAGAGGCCAAGATCAAGGTTACATCTAGTATCCTCTTCAGAATAGCTCTATTTTTGTCTATTTCTGTTTGTATGAGCTTCTTCAGCTTGCTGTCTATTCCCCCAGGGACAGCTGCCATTACAGACTGTTGTAAGGTTTTCCATTTTAAATAGCACTCCCTGTGTGCTTTGCTGCTTTCGTGGTTAGGGAATTTATCATACATTCGACGCCATGTTATGTCTTTGATTTTATAACCATGTTGACTGCTTAGTGTGCTCATACAAGGTTTATTTAGCTCATGACCAAATAATACACAAGGAATACAAAATAGTGCATTTGTGCTTTGGCTGTACATGACCCAGTCTCTCTTAATCTTTTCCCTGCAATTTCCTGACTTTGTGCACTTGAGGTATTCGGGGAAGGCTTTACCTTTTGAAACACGTGGCATTTCTTGTTCTTTATCTTTAGAAGAAGCTATTTTTTTCCACAATTTTTTCTATGTCTGCATTGCTAATTTTTGCTGGCCACAAACCAGGATCATTTGACACAACAGTCTCTTCTTCATCGTCCTCTGAGTCTGCTCTCATGGCTTCCCCTGTTCTCTCATCTTCCTCTCTTCTGTTATCTTCCTTTACACTTAGGGCTCCCTCTGTGCTCTCATATTCCACTATTCTCACCGCTTCCTCAACTTCTACACTCTTTACTGGCAAAATTCTCTCTCTCTCTCTTGTTTCTGTGGGGTTAGGATAGCAAAATCATTTTTGTCCCCCAGTCAACAACAAGTTACAGCTTAGAATTAATATTTTCTTAACTGCATTGTTGAATAATATTATATGAAACATATAACTATACAACACAAGAAAAAAATTGGACAATCCAAAACTTAATTAGTTTTTTACTACCTTGGTAGCTGACCATGTTCACCTTACCTGACACTGAGAGGACTGGGTCATTAGTAGGAGAACGAGGTGCAGACAATAAAGCTGACTCTGCATCTGTATAAGTCAAACACACACACGTAATAATAACCATATTATTTTTATTGGCCTATTTAGTTTTCTTAATATAAAATATTAAAATATCTATTTTGTAAACTCCTTATAGCCAATGGTTACTACAGACACATGTTTTATTCAATTTTATATTATTTTTCTGGGGCATTTTATTCACATTAAGAACGTCAAGTTTGACAGCATCGATCGTAGCAGCAGCACTGTCACTTCACAGCACACACGACACACACACGGCAAACTGATTTTGTAATTTTTGAAGCGTGTAGATTACTTTTTGTTTTGTAAAGTTATCATCATGTGGCGAACACAGTAGATAAGACGTGTTTAGAGGCTTCAATCTTCGTGAAGTTTCGCGCTCAGGCTCACCTTGTTCGGCTGTGACGGGGACGGGGGACGTGGGGGAAGGAGGACGTGGGTGTGCAGCAGCCGCTGAATCTGTGTCTACGAGACATGATAACCCCGGAGACAGCAGAGATGTTATTATTGTTGGATGTAAATCATAATTTGTGCTTTGGCTGTACATGACCCAGTCTCTCTTAATCTTTTCCCTGCAATTTCCTGACTTTGTGCACTTGAGGTATTCGGGGAAGGCTTTACCTTTTGAAACACGTGGCATTTCTTGTTCTTTATCTTTAGAAGAAGCTATTTTTTTCCACAATTTTTTCTATGTCTGCATTGCTAATTTTTGCTGGCCACAAACCAGGATCATTTGACACAACAGTCTCTTCTTCATCGTCCTCTGAGTCTGCTCTCATGGCTTCCCCTGTTCTCTCATCTTCCTCTCTTCTGTTATCTTCCTTTACACTTAGGGCTCCCTCTGTGCTCTCATATTCCACTATTCTCACCGCTTCCTCAACTTCTACACTCTTTACTGGCAAAATTCTCTCTCTCTCTCTTGTTTCTGTGGGGTTAGGATAGCAAAATCATTTTTGTCCCCCAGTCAACAACAAGTTACAGCTTAGAATTAATATTTTCTTAACTGCATTGTTGAATAATATTATATGAAACATATAACTATACAACACAAGAAAAAAATTGGACAATCCAAAACTTAATTAGTTTTTTACTACCTTGGTAGCTGACCATGTTCACCTTACCTGACACTGAGAGGACTGGGTCATTAGTAGGAGAACGAGGTGCAGACAATAAAGCTGACTCTGCATCTGTATAAGTCAAACACACACACGTAATAATAACCATATTATTTTTATTGGCCTATTTAGTTTTCTTAATATAAAATATTAAAATATCTATTTTGTAAACTCCTTATAGCCAATGGTTACTACAGACACATGTTTTATTCAATTTTATATTATTTTTCTGGGGCATTTTATTCACATTAAGAACGTCAAGTTTGACAGCATCGATCGTAGCAGCAGCACTGTCACTTCACAGCACACACGACACACACACGGCAAACTGATTTTGTAATTTTTGAAGCGTGTAGATTACTTTTTGTTTTGTAAAGTTATCATCATGTGGCGAACACAGTAGATAAGACGTGTTTAGAGGCTTCAATCTTCGTGAAGTTTCGCGCTCAGGCTCACCTTGTTCGGCTGTGACGGGGACGGGGGACGTGGGGGAAGGAGGACGTGGGTGTGCAGCAGCCGCTGAATCTGTGTCTACGAGACATGATAACCCCGGAGACAGCAGAGATGTTATTATTGTTGGATGTAAATCATAATTCAGTAATTATTTTACTAAGCTAGCTAGGTAAAAGCAGGTCATGTAGCAACAAAAATAAGTAACTCTGAAAGTTTTGGAATACAGGAATAGGGCAAGCTACCTTTCTTTTTGAAAAACTGTGTGACATACTGATTTAAAGCTTTCGTGACTGCAGTAATTCATATTCTTAGTTCTTTCGGTAAAGTCACGTTGAAGGGAAACAACAAAATAATGAAATATATAAAACAATAAAAATTCTCACGACGTTTCGACCATAACACACCTGAAGACGACCGTTTGTGTTATGGTCGAAACGTCGTGAGAATTTTTATTGTTTTTTATATATTTTATTATTTTATTGTTTCCCTTCAACGTGACTTTACCGAAAGAACTAAGAATATGTGTGGCATACTGTCGACTTCGGCGTTCTCTGTCTTCTCTTTCCTTCTTTTCTTTCCGTTTTTGATGCCCTGACTTTTGATGTGACATGCCTGCGTGTGTCACTGTCTGCACTGCATCATAGCAAGTGCAATAAGCAAGAGACGCTACACTAGCGATCGTAGCTCGGAGAAGCGCAGGTGGAATGAACCATTGTGAGGGGGAGGGGTGTGACTGAAACAGTAAATACATTATTTGTTTTTTTTAAATATTAAATCTATGGTCAAAACGGACAAAATACACATTTAGTGCATGAGGGGCCCTAGCACATTTAGTGTATGTATAAAAAAGAGAAAAGAAATAAAAGAAAAAGGAGGTCTGCTCTTCTGGGCCCTAAATCAGCCTGGGCCCTTAGACTCGTCCTAACCTTCCACCCCTTTACGGCGCCCTTGCGGCCAGGCGTGGTGTTGGCCACCCCCCCCCCTCGTGTGCCGTGCCGGCCTTCATAGGTGCTCGCAAACGGCACTTGCCGCAACAGTCTGTTAAGGCTAAAAGTTTTATGTTCTCCCCGTGGTCGCGTGGACTTGTCTCCGGGTCCTCCGCTTCTTCCCTCTACATTTAGAAAAATGCTTTCAGGGGCCACCCCCCTTCAAACATGACGTCACAAAGCTCTGCCCCCCCCCCCCCCCAAAAAAAAACATGCTTAAAATCGCTTTAAACTATTGTCATTGTAGTGCGTATTTAATGTGGCACTGCACTCGGGAGCGATAGCGCAGCGGTTAGCACACTGCGCAACCAACCCAGTGGTCCAAGTTGAATCCCTGGTCACGTCAACAACCCGTTGCACATTGTGTCTCAACTGATCTTGGATCTCACCGAGGTCAACTCGGCCTTGAACGAGCACCAGTACCCCGGCATTCGCCACTAAGTGACGGTGACGTCACCACGGTGGCCATGCCAGGCCAGGTGCACTTTGAGGCCACGTGAAATGTCGAAGGCTCGCCTGACCCAGGTGCCATGGGTTGGACTGACTGAGATGGCCGATAGATGCACATCAGCTGTTACCCCCCTACTGTGCCAACTTTCTGCATTTGAAATCAGCACCTGGTACAGTCAAACATCAGCATTGGGGGAAACGGAGGCAGGCCGAGCATGGTGCTGTCCATCCACCCCCTCGTGTGCTGTCCCGGCCTTCATAGGTACTCGATAACAGCACTTGCCCCATCCGTCTGTGCAGCCACCAAGGGGATCTCTTTCTTGTTGCCATTGGGTGTCAATGACACTGCTGATGACGATGATGATGCCGTTGCTGCTGTATTGAAAGAGTGATGCTCCAATGATGAGCATGATGATAATGCTATTGCTATATTCTTAGTTTTTTCGGTAAAGTCACGTTTTTTTATTTTTTTATTTTTTATTGTTCTATTGAAAGTGATGCTCTTGATGATGATCATGACGATGATGCTATTGCTGCTCTATTGAAAGTGACGCTCCTGATGATGAGCATGGTAATGCTATTGCTGCTCTACTTGAAAGAGTGATGCTCCTGATGATGATCATCATGATGAAGCTATTGCCGCCGCTGCTTTTACTACGGCTACTAGCGATGATGCCAGTGACGACTGAAAATGTACTTGTCTCCAAACAGAGCCCAGTTCTTCCACACAACTGGTGCTGAGTTCGACCCTGGGTGCGGTGGCTCTGGTGCTGGTCTGCACCAGTATCCTCGTTCTGCTTCGTCGACGCAGAAACGGACCGTACCACCCGCTCCTGGCTAACGGGGGTTCCATTGTGGCTTATACCAACTCCGTGTGAACGCCTGCTCGCTCGCTCATCATCGAATCCACATTGTTGGCATCACCCGCAGTTGCAAGGCGCTCCGATGTTCTTGTTCTTTCGTGCTGTAACCACCCCGTTGTTCCGTACGATGTCTGACGTTTCGCGCCACGTGCTGGTAGCTTCTGCGGATTCCAGCAACTGGAGCGAAACGTCTGGCATACGTTCCGAACAACGCGCCGTGCCAACCGGATGCACATCAGAGAGCCGAACAGCACCACCGCGAAAACCCACACAGAAATATTACGCACAGTTGGTATTAATATCTTAAAGACACCTTTGGCAGCTGCAGGAACGACTTCATTTCACCTGTATTCATCAGTAAACAGGATACAAAAATAACAGCAGCAGTAGCTTCATTTTAAACTGCAGCAAATGGTTTATTAGCAGCAGCCAGCATCATCATTAAGAGGAGCAGAATCATAATAAACTAATAAACCAGGAAAGGCTCACTGAACTACATACCTCTTTTTCAGAAGTAACACTTGTAACCAAGTAATACAGAGTGGCTTATGATTTTGGAAATGTAGAGCAGCCAAATACTCTAAAGGCACGTCCATTCTAAATGTTGAGGGAACAACCGGAGGACCCGGAGAAAAATCCACGTGACCACGAGGAGAACATGCAAACTGCAAATATACAGAAGGCGTCAGGGTCAGGATCAAACTCACGACCTCGTGCATACCAAGCGAGGTAGTCAACATCTCACCACCGTGGCACCCAAAAGCAGTAGTTGGCTGTCGCTCGATTCCAGGATGATCTCTAACCGCCAGTGCCGGATTATCCTCGCAGCAAAAGTAGCTACTACATATGCTACGGGCCCCACACTTTCAAGGGCCCCGCGCTAAAGGCTTTCAAGCTATCAATTCCGGTTCAGTGATTCTGCACTTGCTCTATTACTATAGTACTATACCGCCTTCAACTTTTATGAATGACTAGGAGTTTAAGGTTAGCGATTTGTCGTATTATCCGGCCGTACAGCAAATTCATAAATATAATTACTTTACAATGCAAGTAAAATTTTTTTATGTGTTTTAATATTTACACGTGTTTTTATTTTACGTAAGGCCCCTTTATAACATATGCTACAGGCCCTGCACTCTTAATCCGGCACTGCTAACCGCAGTGTACATATCGGTCCTCAGATGACTCAGAAGTCAGACGTGGGAATCAGGGTTGAGAAACTCATCCTTGCTTCTTAACCCCTGTTTGGATGACGCACGGCGTCCAGTCTTCCAGGCAGTGATAACTACGGAATGGTATTACGATCATTGGTGTTGATTAGATCCCGATGTTTCAATCGTCCCAATTTAACCGTGGCAATTCCTGATTGTATGACTAGTGCAATGTATGCAATCAAACGGTCGTGTGTTAAATGACCAATTCGCACTACGGTAAGAGGACGGGAAAAAAGGTTCAATCCCCCAAAATGGCGTGCACACGCCACCGCAAGTGAAGTCAAATTTGCGAGTGTTCTGTGTCAAATCCACGAGTGGTTCTCTCACGCCAGCGATTCGACCGGTTGGGAGCGATGTAGCAATGTCCGCGGTACGGTTATGGGAACGTTGGGCTTTTAACGTTGTGGCAATGGTCACTTGTAGTTTGTAAGAAGAAGGAAAAAACAAGCCTCGCCCCTTGAATTGCAGAATACCGTTGTGAACATTGCTGTAACCTCGTCCCGACGCTGTGTGGGAACGTTGCCACAATGTCGTAAGGTAACACCGCACCCGCAAATGTATACAGCCATGCCATGTGAGAACAATCGATTGTGAAATGAATATCGCACGCCTACGCATAACTGATTAAAAAAAAATCTTTATTATTTACAAAAGTACAAATTTTAAGCACAAATACGAGCATCATACACACCTTTAAGTGAATACAGCGGTCACGTGACACGCGCCTAACTGCCATTAATGTTAACAGCCATGGAGGAACGATGGCATTTGCATAGAGGAGAGGCTTGTCTCGCTTCACGAGCGTTCGGTAACATCTTGCCACCGTGGCACCCTCGAAGCCCCGTGGTTTTGTATTTTCCTCCCCTGAAACTGCACGGTATACCCTATAAAGTCAATAAAATCATGGAAATGGACGCAAATTTCCGTATTTGTACTTCTTTTATGTCTGTTTAAAACAATGAGTCATCCGGTCATCTTGGTCAGAGAATATCTAGCTGGTTGTGCTTTTTTTTTTAAACGCAGGCATGATGCGGTCACCTCGTTGCAGCTCAATCTCTGTGCAGGATGTGTAGGCTTATTAAACATGAAACTAAATGATGACTTAAAGCTTTCGTGACTGCAGGAATTCATATTCTTTGGGTCTTTCGGTAAAGCCGCGTAGATCGAAACGTCGTGATGTTTTTATTATTTCTATTATTTTTCTATCTACGTGGCTTTACCGAAAGACCCAAAGAATATTGAACTAAATGGTCCACGATAAAGTTACGACGATGTTTCCACCATACATGTGCCACATTTATAACGGTTACCACGTTGCACAATCCGTACTGAAAAAAAATAACCAAGAGGTATTGCCACAATTGATTTATTTCTTGGTCAAGTCGTGTACAAATGTGTGTCGTCAGCTCTCCTACACCGGTGTGTGCATGTACGTTGAACTTCTTTCGCACCGTACACAGCCAACCGTGCTAATCGGAGGTGTTGGAGAGCCAACCTCACAGTATTTAACTTGATAAACGACATTTCGCTTCAGATTGCAACAGCAGCATCAGGTAGTTAACAGGAGCTCACACCTCAAGTGAACGTGCTTCCTCATCCGGGTCCTTAGGTAGATGACATGACGTCATGGCACAGTCATGCACGTGATCTGGTGCAATCATTAGTTGATTGATTTGGTTGTGAATTGCATGTTAGTGTTGTGAGGTTAATATTTTTAGCGATTTGGTGAAAACAAGCTATTCTTAATCATGTTCAGGTGTATTGTTACGTTTGCTTGTGGTGAAACGTTGCGAAAACAACGTTCATTCAAACAACCTCATGGCAACGTCATTGCCCTAACGTTTATGTTTTGCTGGTTAATTGATCGCTCACCGCCTTTGTAATGAAGCTTTGGTTATTGAATACTAAGGTCTTTGTGTTTATTAAACCTTACAAATATCTCAAAGTAGAATTGCCGGCAAACACTCAAGATTTGGTTTAGACCTAACAAATTAAATTGCGTAAACACATCCTGTTTGAAAATACAATGCAATGTCGGATAGATGAAAACACCCCATTAAAACAAATACAGGGACTACTCTACTAACGAGCATTCGACTTATGAACTTTCAGAGCTACGAACAAACCTGTCCGTATGTCCAGTTGCCTGTTTGGACCGAGAGTCGTAAGTTTAACCACCGCGTCGTAGATGGCGGTGGTGTCATCTACATCTGCAGAACGTGAAGAACCAGTGGCATCAATACCTGCAGAACGTGGAGCACCAGTGGCATCTACATCTGCAGAACATGAAGAACCAGTGGCATCTACACCTGCAGAACGTGAATAACCAGTGGCATCTACACCTGCAGAACGTGAATAACCGGTGGTATCTACATCTGCAGAACGTGAAGAACCAGTGGCATCTACATCTACAGAACGTGAATAACCAGTGGCATCTACATCTACAGGAGATTATACAACGTTTAAAATCAATCCCGGTGTTTAGTGTAAACATTGTACAATATGTTTGGAATCGACAGGAGTAAAGTTGGAGTTACGAACATACCTCTGGAACCTAACTCGTTCTTAAGTAAAGGAGTCCCCTGTATGTAAAATACATTTATGGAAAACAAAAACCACTCGCTTATAAAATTAAGGCCGTTTCTCAGTCAACATACCAACGTGGGGCCAAAGGTGATATACGGTTCGAGACAACGTTGGCCCAACGTTTTCCCGATCGTTCCTAGTTTACTGGATTTATGGATTAATTTTAAACGAGAATAAATCAAGACAACCACAAATACAGTAACTATAAACATATTTTATAAATCATTCACATTATTATTATGTGCACTTACGAAATACTCCCTGACCACGAATCTCCCAATTATTGCAACTTTACAAATCTCTCACGATTATTACACACATTCCGCCAGTTACACAAGCAAAATCCGATCGCACCAAAACACACGACTGAAATTATTAACCCAGCAGCGGCTTAATCGCAGGCCCGCTGCCGCTACTACTGCCGCCACTGCTGCTGCACCATTAGAGAATGGTGAGAGAGATCGTGAGACCGGTGATGCGTGCGGTGTCCCGACCGACCTGCCTGCTGTCACAAGCCCATGTGCCTCAGTCGTCTACACGAGCGCGCTTTCCTGCTCCATGACCCCTTCGGCGCCGGCCCTTGGCGCGGCGCTCTTCGAGGGCCGCACGGAGTGCAGGAACTCCGCGCGGATCTTCTTGCTGGAGAACACGAAGAGCAGCGGGTCGAGGCAGCAGTTGGCCGACGCCAAGGGCCGCGTCACCTTGTAGGCGGTGTTCACGGCGTTCAGGAGGTCACACGATGCGTCGCCGACGCCTCTCAACGCGTAGTAGAGAGCGCGCGTCACGTGGAAGGGCACGAAGGAGATCGAGAAGACGAGCATCACCGTGAAGATGAGCCTCGTCGTCCTCATCCTGAAGGCCCGCGAGCGATCGTTGGGGCCCAAGCCGCCGCCGCCGCCGGCGCGCAGCTTGCGGACGATCATGCAGTAGGACGCGAGGATTGAGCAGAGCGGCAGCGCGAACAGCGTGACGGACGTCACGCAGCTGTAGACGAGGAAGCTCTGGAAGCGCTCCTTGGTGGTGGTGTCCGGGCACACGATCTTGTTGGCCGACGCCGAGGGGGGCTTGGTGGTGGTGAACGAGAAGATCGGCGCCGTCTGAGCGAGCACCGCCACCCAGACGGCGGCGCAGACCCAGGGAGCGGCGCGCGCGCTCAGCAGGTGGCCGGCGACGCGGCCCTCCTTGGGGCACCCGCTCCAGCGCACCTTGAGGTAGCGGTGCGCGCTGATGCACGCCAAGAACATGATGCTCGTGTACATGTTGAAGTAGAACGTGAAGCGCGCCGTGGAGCAGAGCGCGCCGCCGAAGGGCCAGTGGTTGCCGAGGGCGTAGTAGACGCCCAGCAGCGGCAGCGACAGCGTGTACAGGGTGTCCGACACGATGAGGTGGAACATGCAGTGGTAGTAGAAGTTCCACCTTCGCCTCTGTCTCAGGAAGATCCAGAGGGTGGCGCCGTTGAGGGGAGCTCCCAGGGCGAAGCACAGCCAGTAGGTCAGGGGCAGCAGGACGTACTTGAAGTCCTCCTGGAAAGTGCAGCGGTACTGGCCAGGCGAAGGCGGCCGCGGCGAGGCGCTGCTCCAGTTTGCGGACGCGTTCCACGGGACCGGAGAGGTGAAGTATGTCGAGAGCGCGTCCGGTTCCGTGAACGGGTCCATCGTGTGGGGGTGTGGGCATGCACACACGCACACCTGTGGGGATGCAGGATGATGACGACGATGATGATGATGATGGCAACTATGTCTTCTTTACACACACAAAGCCAAAAGATCCCAGTCACCCCGGGCATAGCGTTTGAATGGATTGTTGCGGCAAGTGATGTTACCGAGCGCCTATCAACGAAATCCGGCACGGCACACGGGAGGGGTGGGGGGGGATGGCCAACTCCATGCCCGGAGGTTCGGCTCTCCGAACCTCCGAGCAAAGGCTGCGGAAAGCCTCCTCATTCTCTGACGTGGGACGCTGTAGACGATGATAGTGGGCCTGTCGCTTTTTCTCAGCCAGCCTGAACACCTCTTTTGTCAGCCAGGGTCTCTGGGGAGGTCTGGACCGCGTACCCAAAGCAGCCATTGCAGCTGCATGAGTCACAGTCCAAAACCTCGCCCATTAACCCTCGACATCAGGAGGGGTGGGGGAAGATGCCAACCCCAGCCGCATATGATGATGATATTCTCCCTTGCAACATTCATCAGCTAGCTGAGACCAGGCCACTCTGGGTTTGAATGGGGTCCTGGGTGTACACCCACCACCGCACTGGAAGAATGGCAGGCGCATCTTACAGATGATAAGTCGATGGTCAGTTGGCAGATCAGCTCCACGGTCGGTCCTGGTGTCAAGAACATGGGCCCGCATCCGCTGTTCCGTCACTATGTAGTCCAGAAGATGTTCTTGCTTGGACCCGGCATGCATCCATGATGTTGTGTGGATGCGCCGATGCCAGAACAGCGTGTTGGTAATAACAAGCCCATGAGCTGCACAACAATATAGCAGCCTCCTACCGTTGTTATTGAGCTGATCTGGCCCATGCCTTCCAATCACTCCAGACCAGGTGCCAGCATCATGACCAACTCGGGCATTAAAGTCACCCAACAGCATGACTATCCCGAGGGGCCACTTTAGCAAGCACCTGTGACAGGAGGTCATACAAGGCATCTGCCCTGCCTACATCGCTCCACGGATGTTCGTCTTCGGTGGGGGCATAAGTAACCACGACCATCACTCCTCGCCTCTGGTTGATGGGAAGGCGAGCTCAAAGTAGCCTAGGGCTTACAGCTTCCCACACATCACCGACACGCTCCCACGCCCCCTTCATTATTTTGTTCAGAAGAATAGCCACTCCCTGTCGTTTGGCAGTCTCCTGCCCCGAGTAGAGGACTGTCCACCCCTCATGGTGGCAGGAGCCAGAGCCGGTCCACCGGACCTCCCGAATACCACAGAGATCCAGGCGGTACCGGTCCAGGTCCCGACAGTGGAGTGGCAGCCTTCTCCTCCGCAGTGAGCGTTCGAACATTCCACATGGCCACACGTCGTGGTTTTTTGCTGTTTCTGGAGGAACCCCGAGGATAAGGATTCAATCTCCTGGCTCCGCCAAATGGGGTTTGGCCAGGAGACGTCATAGACGCCTGTCCCCCCGGGGCCTCTGGCACAAGCTTCGTTTGATATTTTTTCTTTGGTATCGTGGTAATTAATTGAAGGTAAACGGGTTACCAGCCCCTCGCACCCGTCCAGAGCCACCATTTGGCCGCTGTGGTGGCTGCAAACGCCATGAGGGGAATGGCAAATCTAAGTTGGTCCTCCCCACCACGGCACTGCTCACCACAGCGTTGCCGTCCGGCACCAACGAGGAGGTAGGGGGCTGTTTTGCCGGACTACACAGACACACACAGACACACACACACATACACACAAACACACACAGACACACAAACACACGCGCACACACACGCACACACAGAAACACACGTGCACACACAGACACACAAACACACGTGCACACACAAACACATACACATAAACACGCGCACACACAAACACACATACACACACAAACACACACATACACACAGACACACACATACACACACACAAACACGCGCATACACAAACACACAAACACACATACACACACAACACACACACACATACACAAACACACGCGCACACACAAACACGCGCACACACAAACACACATACACACATAAACACACACATACACACAAACACACGCGCACACACATACACACAAACGCACGCGCACACACAAACACACGCGCACACACACAAACGCACGCGCACACACAAACGCACGCGCACAAACGCACGCGCACACACACACAAACACACGCGCACACACACAAACGCACGCGCACACACAAACGCACGCGCACAAACGCACGCGCACACACACACAAACGCACGCGCACACACAAACGCACGCGCACAAACGCACGCGCACACACACACAAACGCACGCGCACACACACAAACGCACGCGCACACACACAAACACACGCGCACACACAAGCGCACGCGCACACACACAAGCGCACACACACAAACGCACGCGCACACACAGACACGTGCGCTGCATCAGTCGCGTGCCGTGGCTGGTATTGACCCCCCACGGCACCACTCCGAACCCCGTAGCGAGACCCGTATCGAGACCTTGTTTAAAGGGGATCATACAGAGAACTTCAGGGGGGGTTGGGTCGGGGTGGAGGGCACGACAGAGCCAATGTCAAACTTTGAACACGTGCGAAACGCGAAACAGAATGAGAGACGGGACGATCTGCTTTTGTCTATTTTACATTCTTCTCGAACTCACCCCCCCACCCCCGTGTATATTGAGGTGTGCCTGAGCTTTCAGAAGCCCCACTCCTTCCCTCCCCCCGGAGCCGTGCTGAATTGTATAAACACAATACGAATATTGTTGTATTATACCCTTTCTGGCAACAAAATGGGTGTTAAAGATATTCAAACACCGGATACCTTTAGCAAGGACTCATGTCTGCATCGACCACACGTACTTGTGGCAAAACATGCAAACAATAACACTCTGATAATACTAATAGCAGACGCATTGTCTTTGAAACTGATTGGCCTACGCCAGAGACAACCTTTTTATTGTCAAAAAGGGTAAAGCCTTTTCTTATTATTTCCCCCCCATCAATCTGATACTCTTAAGAAAGGTCCCATGGATACATGCTGAATGCTAGAATAGCATTCAGCTAGAATAGCATTCAGCATGTATGCTAGAACGCCTGAAGGAACTCCCCAGGGACGTGGAGCGAAACATCGGACATCGTGCCGAACAACACGAGGTACACAATCCAAGACAAAACAAAAAATAAATCGAGAGACCGGTGGTGACAACTCTAGGGCTTCGATAACGCTATCGTCGTTGTTGATTTGTGAGTTGTTACTTAATAAAGAATTAAAGCTTTCGTGACTGCATAAATTACTCATTGTTTTTTTCGGTAAAGTCACGTATGTAGTAAAATTATATTAAAATAAATTCTAGATTTGAAGCTTTCGTGACTGCAAGGATCCATACTCTTAGGTAAAAAAATAAAACAACAAAAATCACGATGTTTCGACCGCAACACAAGCGATCTTCATCAGGTGTAAAAAACAAATAGCACATAGGGCGACACCAACGCAACACATAGAGAGCGTTAAACTGCCACGGAGGTAAATACAACAAGAAGATGAGAGACGATAATTCAACAAACCTAAGAAAAATTTACGTGCTGCAAAACCAGTCGGGCCAACGACGCAGTTAAGACACTTGCCTGGCGGACCACGAATTTCAGAAGAGCGCTAAATTTCGTGTTCATCCTCTGGGTTGAACGCACCAGCATAGCCAGAGTTATTTACTTCATTCGTCCTCACCTTGCCTCTGGAGGCTCCCGCTTGGTTACTTGGGTTGCCTCTTATCAGCGCCCGCTGTGGTTCTGCGATAAGGTTTTGCGGGCAGCCCGGGGCTCTTGTCGCACTCGTGACATCGGTTGCGTGGGTGTGGCTCACCCCACGGGCGGACGGAAGTTTCAGTTCCCTCGTGGAGTTCGCGGGGCTTCAGCCGGCGACGCCCTCGCTGCAAAAGCCGACAACCGAGTTCGATTCCCGAACCTGGCCCTTAGCATCAGCGGCGATGTGCGGGGACGCTCTCTTCGCAATTTTCGCACTGACGGGTGCGGGGAAGTATGGTCAAAATGACCCCCACCTCCACCCCGCCCCCAGCAGTGGATTGGCAAAGGGCTGTACATGCACTGTGTGGAGCAATTTTGTCGCCGCTTCGTCTGCGGGGGTCTCGATGGATTGTTGCATCGCGACACCGTGGGAGGCAGCGCCGGCGTAGAGAGGGAGGCCGTCGTGCAGAATTGGGTAGATCATGGCCGGTGGTGATTGTAAAATTTACGCATGGGATCGAGGATCGCTGAGCTTGAATAACATTGACTTGACCCTTTCGGTAAAGTCACGTTGAAGGGAAACAATAAAATAGTAATTCATATGCTTAGCTCTTTCGGTAAAGTCACGTTGAAGGGAAACAATAAAATAATAACATATATAAAACAATACAATTCTCACGACCTTTCGACTGTGAGAATTTTATTGTTTTATATATATTTTATTGTTTTATTGTTTCCATTCAACGTGACTTTACCGAAAGAGCTAAGAATATGAATTAGTGCAGTCACGAAAGCAAGCTTTAAATCAAAATTGACTTGACCGTCAAGGTTTCAACAGCACCAATTAAGACATTTTCAATTGTTGGTTTAAAGTTATCTTTCGTCAGAAGCAGTAATTGGAATTGAAAGTACCGCATTGCCACTGTGGCCATGCAACCAAAAACTACGAACCATGCGCTGGAACCCACTGTAGTCTGAGCTCATTCAAACGGAGGAGTCATGACGAAACTGCACGAACTCTCTCTCTCTGCTGAAGTCCTCTCGTGGTTAGCAAACCTCGACATTGGCATTTAGCCCCTGAAAATATGAATAAAGATTAACATGGGGGCCGTCCATAATGACGTCACGCGATTTTGGACGATTTTTTTACCCCCCCCCCCCCCACTTCGTCACACGGCGTCACAAAAAGTCAGACCCGCCCTCAAATATGACGTCACAAAGCTCTACCCCCCCCCCCCAAAAAAATGCTTCAAATCGCTTTAAACTATTGTCATTGTCGTGCGTATTTAATGTGGCGCTGCACTCTGTGCACTCTGATATTGTAGGAGAAAACATTTATTAAAAAGTCTATTAAATTAAATAGAACGTGTTGTCTATATTTATTTAAATTTGCGCATTTTGACGTGACGTCACATTTCTCAACCCCCCCCCCCCCTCGTCACACATCGTCACAAATGTCTGACCCCCCCCCCTCCCCACTAGGTGCGTGACGTCATTTATGGACGGCCCCTTGCGCAGGGATGGACAACTAAAATACCAAGTAGAGACTTTTTTTTTCGAATTCGGTAAAAAAACTCTCAATATTTCAAAATTCGCAACGCGTTGTAGTCAGTACGAGACGGCGGTTCTTAATTTAATTAAACGGTCACGAGGCAGTCCTGAACGAGACAGCACGCCGCTCGCTCCAGCCCATGCGGGTTGCTCACCCCTTGCCTGGTTCCCACGCGCAAGGTGAGAATTGAAACTACAGTACATCCCACGTGGCGTGCAGCAGAGGGCAGTAGGGCAACATTCATTGCGATGCTCCCACGTCGAATGCACCCCGACTTCGACACCCCGCGCGCTGACCTTGCGTGGTGAAGTATGGCCATATGATCACCCCACGATCTGCACAGCGTCGCGGGGCTCTTGTTATGCAGTCACGAAGGCCACGTGTTCCCGTGTGAATTAAAAACAACATCCCGTGGCGAGATGTCAGCTACCTCGCCTGGCATGTAGGAGAGGTTGTGTGTGTGTGCCTCTCTCCCTGGGGATTTTTGCTCCGGGTCCTCCGGTTTTCCGCCCTCCACATTTAGAATCAACGTCACGCGTTTAGAGGATTTGGCTGCTTGCTATAAATTTCCACACGACGATAAGCCACTCGATAGCTGAGTCGCTTATGGAAAATAGCCGTATAGCTCAGTGGGCCTTACGCCTGATATGAAATAAAATAGGTTTGTTGAGTAGGAAGTAAATGAACCCCGCTGACGAGTTTACGCTGGAGAGTCCCACGGAGTCTCGGGACGCGTTTTCAGGAGGGCCCATGCCGTGTATACCCCCCAGCTATATTATATCCTTGGTTATTTTTTTCCCCCACACCTGATAATGATTGCTTGTGTCGCAATCGAAACGTTGTGAGAACTTTATTGTTTCATTTGTATTATTTCATTTTTTCCCTTCTACGTGACTTTACCGAAAGGACCAACAATATGAATCCCTGCAGTCACGAAAGCTTTTGTACGTTTTAAGAAAATAAAAAAATGCATTGAATGAAACTGCAGAATACCGAGGGAAGCCCATACAGAACACCGGGACAGCATACAAGCTCTACACACAAAGGCTCGACCGAGTAGGGAGTCCCTACCCGATCACCTCTAGCTGTGAGTAACAAGTGTGAGCACCTCCGCTCGTCTGTGAAGCACGGCCCCTCCTCGATTGCGTTGCGACAAAGGCAGTGTTCGTTTAGCACGTCGCAGGCTTTCGCGACCGATACGATTCATGATAAAGGTTTTTATATTTTTTTAGTTATATCGCGTAATTATAAACGTGTCGAAACCCTCCAACATCCGACACAGCCAATTAGTAAGGGATTTGTCACGCAAACAAAACGCCAATCTATTCTGGAAAATCGCCCGACGATGCTGGATGTAATTACCTGCGAAACGTCGTACTACTCAAATTGTAAATGTTGTGGATTTACTCTCCAGCCCACCAGTGGGCTAAATTTGTAACTAATTGGCGCGTTTTGTTTAAACTTGATTTGAAGCTTTCGTGACTGCAGGGATTGCTCTTTGCTTCTTTTGCTAAAGTGACTTTACTGAAAGAACCAAATACGTTTTTGTTTACGTGACAAATCCCTTACTAATTGGCTGCATCGGGTGGTGGATGGTTTCGACACATTTATTCTCACGCGATCTCACCCCAAAAAAAATAAGAAAAAAACCCTTCATCATCAATGTCAGTTGTTCTGCACTCATTTTCAGAGGGGAGGGCCACCATCGCCGATGAGACATCGCCGGTGTGAGGGCTGCCACGCGCATTTAAAACCAGCGTGGGGTTTGACGGGATCACGACGATGAGGGTGGTGTTTCCAAATGCGCGTATCGTCGGGGTATCGACTGGCCGCATTCAAGGCCACCAGGGGCCCGACAGTTACCCGCGGGCCCTTTGCAATGAAGAAACACGGCGCTATTGGAACTTGCCCGCGAGCAAAGTCAACGTCCCGAGAACTTGACCCACTGCTGAGGTCGTGACATTGTCCGCTCGGTGCGTCGCTTCACGTTGAGAGTCGCGGTCGGAGGCCGACACCTCCCAGTGGACCCGAGCCACGGGATGGGAAGGATGACGGGGTGTGGGGGAGCGGGGGGAGGGGGGGGGACTGCAACATCAATTCCAGCAACCTCCGATTAGCACGGTTGGCTACGTACGGTGCGAAAAAAGTTCAACGCACATCAATGATAATCGTGCGTGAAGTTTTCTCTGGATCATCATCATCACCATAGTTTTATCACGCGTGTCAGCGCGTATGTCGCAGACATATTTCACAGATTTATTTTTTGAAACGCTCATCCGTCGCGTTTCAGTGCACATCGATGTGACAAAACTCTCTATTCATAGTCATCATCATCATGATCAACAAGTTCATCGTCAGCTATGATCAACCCACTGCTGGATGACGGTCCACCCCGTTGTGTCGCTATGCCGTCCACGGCTCTGAAATGCAGGCAGACGTCAAAGCAGCCGCTCGCGAGCGGACTTCGTCGCTCCATCTCCGCGCCGGACGTTCATCTCTCTCATGCACGTCCCCTCGTCCATTGATTGGCTGCCACTGATGTGCTCATTCTGCCCAAGCCCGGTCTCCTTTCTAAACGCTCATTGCCACTTCAGCCCGCGTTATACGGTCTCTGATCGACCTCTCATATCAATATTAGCAACGCGCGCCATGATGGAAAAGAACCGAAACTATTTTTTTAACCAGGTAAGGCCCCACTGAGCTATGTAGCTATTATTTTCAGAAGCGACCTGGCTATCACAAATGATAGCTCAACCAAGTGGCCCATCGTGTGGAAATTCATAGCAGCCAAATAGTCTAAACGCGCGATGTTGATTCTAAATGTGGAGAGAAAAACCGGAGGACCCGGAGGAAAAATCCACGCGACCACGGGGAGAGAGAGAGAGAGACACGCAAACTCCAAATATGCAGCAGCAGGCGTCAGGCTCGAACCCACGAATTCCTGCATAGCAGGCGAGGCAGATAACAGCTCTCCACCGGGGCGTCCAAATAATGTATCACTCGACTAACTAACCGTTCGACAATTACAGCAGCAGGCGTCCGGGTCGGGATCGAACCCACGACCTCCTGCATACCAGACGAGGTGGTTAACATCTCCTAGCCACCGCGACGCCCCTCCGTTTTGAACCCGTCCACCTGAGTTCGATTCCCTTCCGCAGGCTCAGTGCGTGTCTCTATAAAAAAAAAAACGCTCCTGTCCTCCGCCACCGACGTTCAACCAACCCCGCGTTCCGCGGCTCCATCTCCACGGTGAGCGTCCACCCCGAGCGCGTTCCCTCCGCCCGTCCGTAGCTCGCAACGCCGTCATTATTCCCAAACCCAAACCTGGCCCAGCCTTCATCCATTCCAACGACGTGGTGCTGCCCCCGGATAAGCGCAGGCTCCGTTTCATTTACACAAATGGGACCTTTGTTGCCAGTATCCAAGTATGTAAAAAAAACTAAGAAAAGGGTTTTTTTTTACCCTTGCTGGCAATAACACGGGAGTTGTGTTAAGATGTTCGAACACGAAACAGAAACTCTTTTGCAAGGAATCAAGTTGCTGCATTAACCACGCACAGTGCTTGTAGTGAACATGCGGACAAAAACATCTGATAATATACGTCGTTGTTTAAAAAAAAAACGGATCGGCCTACAGCATTGACAGCCTTCTTTAGGGCCCGGTCTCACCACCGGTGTCAAGACCAGAGAACGCCAAGAGGCGAACAGGACAAGGACAATGCCACCGTCAGAGCATTCATAGCTCGGGGTGAGCAGTTACATCATGGGAACTTTTTTTTTGCCAGTATCAAAGTATGAACGTGATTCCTTGGAAAAAGGGTTTATATTTGGTGTTTGAACATCTTAACACAACTCTTGTTTTATAGCTTGAAAGGGTAAAAACCTTGTTTTTTCATAGTTTGATACTGGCAAAAAAGGTCCCGTTTCGTAGCTGCTCACTCCGAGCTATGAATGCCTTGACGGTGGCATTGTCCTTGTCCTGTTCGCCTCTTGGCGTTCTCTGGTCTGACACTGGTGAGACGAGGCCCTAAAGAAGGCTGTCACCT